GTCACACAATCATCCACAGACGCACAAAAACACGCATACACAAACAAATATTGAATGTTTCGATGTCGAACACTTCCACTTTTCATCTTCGGCAACTAATATAGAGAGATTTGATTTTCCTCAGTTAATTTTCAGTTTTTAACAGTGTAAAAAAGTTGCAAAACAAAAACTTCAGAAATTACCTAATTGTCACTCACGTATTTTCAAATATAAGCGATCGATCGAATTAGCTTCAATTGTTGAGAAAATACAGCAGCGGCGAAAACACTATTGTTATGCACCTTCCCTAATTGCAGTTCAAAATAACTGACAATTTGGCTCGCATATATTATAACTCTCTACTAGATGAGACGCTTCGCATAAGACTAGACCACTAATAAAAAAACTTTTTCGCTTATATTTCTCTCAGCAAAATTTTTTGAAGCTGATGACACAACTAAACTTCCAAACTTTCAAATAACAAATTACAGCAAACGAATGTGAATGATATTTTTAAAAGAGTCGGTCAGAAGAGCAATGAAAGACTGGTAAGGTTGTAACGAAGAAATGAAGACGATGAGTTGCATTTGGCTGCTATAGTCTGCTAATACCAACGCCTCGCAAACGAATACAGCAATATAGTAATTGATGCTTGTGACTACTTTACTGTAAGCTAAACAAAAATCAATGTGTTGGAAATAACTACTTCTTTAACGTGCAATTTCCCCCAACTAATGCAATTCTATGGTTCTTTTTGGGTCTGGAGGCAGAGCAGCATGCACCAGAGCAAAAATTCCATTTAACTAAAGTTCAATAGCACAAAATGCCAAAGCAGTGAATGAATATAAAACAAGATAGGTTCATTGCCTTTCCCAAAACCGTATCTAAACCAAAAGCAAAAGAGTAGATAGACACGATAATAAAATGAAAATAAAGCCTTTTTCTCTAAGAGCCCAATGGTAAATGAACTGGACGGTTAACGAAAGACCTTTTCATTAAAGCTGGCACAAAAAAAAAAAAACTACTGACAAAACTGGAAGAACGAAGCCTTTACAACAACAACAAAAAAAGATCTCCTTTGACCCAACTGTATCCTCTTAGTGAAAACAAAACAAGAGATTATGATAACCTGCTGAGGATTGACACGAGCACCGATACCCAAAATCACAGAAAGCGATCTAATCCAAAGCTCGTGCCAACGGCCTTTTAAGCCTTCAAACCACTGCCGTTCTGGTGATTCTGAAAGAGCAGAATTCTCCCCAGCCGTCACTAGATTGTTCCTAAAATATACCATACAACTCAACTGTTTAACTAATATATATTTTAAAACAAGGAAAAAACGACATTAAAAACAAAATACCTCGAAAGAGAGAAAATTTATAAATTAAAAACCAATAGCAAACAAAGAACATGAAAAATAACGCTAACTTTTCTAAGAACTTTTCAACTGCACTAACTAACAAACGACCTTCTTGCTCGATTCGCCTTTGTATTACCTGAAACAAAAACAACCCATTGAAAATCAGTCGGCAACGTTCTGCAACCATTAGTTTAAAATGTTTTTAAGAAATTCTTATTTGATCGACCCTAACTGAAGCAAGTTTGCCAGAAAGAAAGAAACAGGGCATGGCAACAATTTTTTGAAAAAAAAAAAAAAAAAAAAAAAAAAAAAAA